TCGAGATGTTAATTGGCAATTTATCAGCAAGATCTGGATCTCCAGATAATGTTTGGTTCATATGTCTTGTGAATTCAGTTCTTTCATCCTCGTTTATTGTATGTGAAACATTTTGACTTGATCCATGAACGGTGATTTTATGTTTGTTAAATGCAAATGAACTTTTATTACGCCATGATCTTAGTTTTGAAATTAACTAAATATTTAAAGTTAAAGTTAATATAAATGTAAATGTTAAAAAATGATTAATGAAATTAATCATCTATAGTTTAATTAATTAAGTAAACAACACATTATATATATATATATATATATATTTACTTCAACAAATTCTTCAAGCTCGACTTTTCCCGTAGAACTTAAGTCGATTTCTTTTAAAGTTGCTCTTATCTCGTCGTATGAATTGTCTTCACCTATGTCTTGTAAAGCTTTTAAAATTTCTTTTTGTTCAAGTGCACCGCTACCATCAATGTCTATTTGACTTTTTTCAAATTTTTGAATTTTTAATTGTGAAATTCATGCAAAAACAAAGAAATCCAAAAAAAAACAAAAATAGCGTAGCTTACTTGAATTGAGAGGTGATTTTAAGTATTTCGTGTTGAGGAATTTGAGGAAACTTTTTGGCTAATTGCATTACATTCATTTTGTTTTTAAAAGAAACTACATTATTAAAAGCAATAGCATTCTTTTATACTTTATAATTGTAGGTTTTGCTGCGACAAAACGAGACGAGCATAGTAGAAATCAAAACGTCAATTGCTAAAAAGGGATCATTGTTTCCATTACTATTGAGATTATTATTTCTACCAAGTGATAAATATTTGATTTTACTTGGATAAAAAACTTGGATTATTATGTTATGCACATTATATGTTTATAAAATTGGCATTCTCGGCATTTCTTAATCGATGCCAAGACTTGCCAATTTTTCAAAAATGAATTTTTACGAAGGATCCGCATAAAATAATATATATATATACTCGAAATTTTATTGGCCAACTGAAAGTCTTATCACGTGTTTTGATATTTTTCAACTTTTGAAATGAAAATTGTAGTTTCTCCCCAGAAGCATTGTGAAAAAAATTAGGTATTTTTCTTACTTTTACGCTATACATCAAAGCAAACGAGTAATGCAAATTCATGACATAAATTCTCAGCCAACCAAAAAAATTTTCTGGACAAATTTACATCATGTAATCTTCTTTAATATAAATAATTTTGAACAAAACCCTTTTAGGTTAAATATTGTTAGAGGTTATTCCAAAAAATCTACAGTTCCATCACTATTTAATATTACAATTATTATAATTAATAATAAATATATATAATACAGTCAGAACTCATTAAACCAAAGTCAATGTTTTCACAAAAAAATTCTTTGGTTTAAAAAAACCTTAATAAGTAGATAACAAAAAACATTGGTTTAACATGTATATCCGTTTTGTCAAAGCATCATCTTGACGAGTTCTGGTTGTAAATATAAAATGAATAATTGGATATTTTTCAGGTATTAAATATCATTAAAATTGATCGATTTATAATACAACTCACTTAAGATGACAAATTAAAGGAATCCAAAACTGGGTCATCCAAAGAAGAAAATTGGCAGATCTTCCTCTCCTTCTGGTTTAGTCTGCCTGCTTCAAGAAGACCACTACTTGATATTGTAATCAAATATTTACTTGTACATTAAAAACTGACTATGATAATCAATGATGTATGATGAAACTTTTGACTTTAGTCATTGACGTGATGAAAGTACTGACTAAAGGTAGTTTCTCACCAAGGACCATTTTGACGATTTGACGAAAGTAAAAAGTGTTGACAAAAGTAAAAATTGTTGACAAAAGTAAAAATTGTTGATGAAAATAAAAATTGAAATTGAAATTTATATATATAAGGTTACCCTAATTATAAAATAATAAATATTTTGAGTAAAAATTATTTGAATTGAAATTATATAATAGTGACCATAAACCATTCAAATTTTTATATCCAGTAATACTGTTTAAAGCAATAATTAGTTTTTAAAATGTCAGATCCACAAAATAAATTATCTGGTAGACCTTCCTCAGATATGTGGATTTATTTTACTAAAAAACAAGAAGAAAAACCCAAAGGACATTAATCTCCACAATGAAAGTACTGTACAAAAAAGTTTAGTCATGGACAACCACAAAAATTTTTATCACATTTAGCAAATCATTGTCCAGGCTGTACTTGTGAAATTAGAAAAGAATGTCTAAAACAAATAAACAATGATAATAATAATGAAATTTTAGAATCATCATCAACTCAACAGCCAATTTCAAATTTTTATGAAAGCACATTGTTGACAAAAGAACACAATGATTCTATTAACCAGGCATTAATCAAAGCATTCATTTGCTGTGGAATTCCTTTTTCAGTTGTTAGTAATTCATACTTTATAGATCCTCTTCAACAGCTCTGTCCTGCATATCAACCACCATCTAGGAGTGTTTTATCTGGAAAATTTCTTGATACCAAAATATCTAATGACAATAATAAATTGAATTCAATATTAGAAAATAACAAAAACCTGACATTAGGTGACTATCATTATTATTATTATTTTATTTTATTTTACTTACCTTAAATTTGATAATTAAAACAGCAATTGATGGTTGGTCTAGTCCTCAGAATTTGTCAATATGGAGTTTTGTGATATATACACCTGATTGTAAGCAATATTTGTATGAATTACATGACCTATCATCTGATAGTCATACTGCACAATATATTGCAACCCAAATTGAAGGAATTATGAATAAAGTTGGCCCATTTAAGTTTTCTGCAGTAGGTGCTTCCAATGTGAGTGGTGACAGGAAAATTATTACTGATAAATTTAAACACATCATCAACTTGCATTGTATAGCCCATTGTATCAACTTGGTGACCAAAGATATTATCCAACATAATTTTGCAAAAAATCTGATTTCTAAATGCAAAATTGTTGCCAGATTTTTTAAAAGGCCCCATAGAGCAACCAATATATTGCAAGAAAACATCAATAAAAATAACATTGTTGGTAGTGGTTTGAAGAAATATTGTGAGACATGTTGGACATCAGTTTATGATACAGTGGCATCTATTATAAGGCTCAAACCTTGATTTGATTTAGTAAGTTGTTTTTATTTTTTATTTATTTTATTTTATTTTAATTTTAATATTTATTTAAATTATAAATAGATTTTGAGAGAAAATGATGATTTGGTTACAAGTGAAGTGAAGAATATCCTTAGACGAGGAACTTTTTTTGACAATTTAGAAGATTTATCTCATCTATTAAAACAAATAAAAATTTCAATTGTAGAATTAGAATCAGATAGTTGCAATTTAGCTGATTGTTATCTCAACTTGGTTAAGTTGGCAGTAGCTATAAATTTAATTCTAAAAGAGTATAACAAATCATTTTTTAACTATTGTATTTACATAGTAAGTCTCGGTATAGTGGACCTCGGTATAGCGGATGTCTAATAAAACTCTCAGTTTAACGGATCAAAGCTCAGAACCATCTATAAGTAAATTCTCTCGGTTTGACAGATTTACTAATTAAATCTTGAATTAATCTTGGTATAATGGATTTTTGAAATTTTTGTTCTAATTACCCAAATTATCCGCTATACCGAGACTCACTGTGTACAAGTATAATAAAAGTTGGCAAGATTTTGAATATGATGAATTTTTGTTGTGTTTTTTCCTACATCCAGCATATAAAGGTAATTAATCAATTGAAAATTAATATGATCTATAAAAAATATATTATCATTAATGATTGATTTAATAATTGAATAGGTAAAGGTATAAGAAATGGTAATTTCAGGAGAATTGCAGAAACTGCTGCAAGACTATATCAAAATATGGGAAAATTCAAAACATCTTGTAGTGAGTTGATATCTCAACTTAGACACTATAAAATTGGGAATTATCCATTTGATGCATCATATGACAGAAAAATGATTCACCACTAACTTGATGGATGACATGTGAAGATGTTCACAATCACCTTCAAGATTTGGCAATTAAACTTTTTTCAGTGACCCCTCACAGTGTAGGGCGTGAAAGGATTTTTTCTAAGTTAAATTGGATATATGGCAATAAATGACAAAATTTGAACTTAGAAAAACTTGAAGATATATCCAAAATTCTCAGTTATTATCTTTCAAATACAAAAAAATAAGTTCAAAAATTTTGATCATTCAATTTCAGATAATGAACTTAAACAATTGGTTATTAATTCAAGTGACAATGATTCAGATGTGGAAGATCTAGAAAATGAAGATGAGTTGGAATATAATTATGAAGAAGACTTACTAGTGGTTAATGATATTATGATATTAGATGATGCAGTATTTGCTGATGAAAATGATAATATTAATAATGAAATTGATGAAGTTTTGCGGACCACCAATTAATTGTCTTCGATTGATAAAAATCAAAATTTTATATTGACCAATTAAATTTGTCGATCATTATTGACCAATCACAAAGAAATTCTGTTATACTCGTACAATGCTTGCAGTCTGTAACGAAAATAATAATGGCTGGTACATATTAATATTATTAATTTGCCCGATCTCGGTGGATTACAAAATTGTAATTAATAAAATAAAAAATTTATTATCATTATCATTAAAAAAATAATAAAAACAACAAACGTAATTATGACTTTCTAGTAGAGGAATTAACACAGGAATAAAACATCTAGATGGCATCATTATTTAAAAATTATTACTTTAATCAACAACAAATTAGAAGATTCAAACAGATGTGTATATATATTTATACTTATTGATTTAATTTTTTACATCATAAAAATGACTAGTGATGTCTCATGCAGTGGCAGATTCACGTATGTATATAATTTTCAAAATGCCAAGGCCCAGCCAATTTTTAGAAAAAACTAGCCGATGAACAATAAATTTATAGGTTAACTTTTTAAATGATATAAAAAAGCTTCTTTTAGTATTTGAAGCTGACCAATTGTTGTTGCTATGCAATTTAAACTGGAGTCAATGTTTTCACAAAAAAAAATCTTTAGTTTAGAAACCTTAATAAAATTGACTTATTATTATAGAGATAAATTTCATAGGTAGATAATAAAAAAACATCGGTTTATCGTGTACATTATTTTATCAAAACATCATCTTAACGAGTTCTGATAAGCAGAAGCTTATAAAGAAAAGGGTGACCTTTGCATCAGTCAGTAGAGATTCCGTACAACTTTCAATTCCGTCCGTACACTATTCTTTTTTGTTCCGTACGTACACTTTTTATTTTTAATTTTTGTACGGAATTTGTGAATTCTGAAAAGTTGATTGGCGGGGACCAGTCTGTACGATCTTCGATTCCATATTTTGTTCCATACAGAACATGATTTACTACAGAGGTGCAGATGCTACGGAATACGGAGCCTGTATAGACTCTTTGCATTTTAATGAATCCATATTGATGGTTTTTATATCATTATGTAAATATAAAAGGTGTTTTTGTTTACAGTGTTGTGAAACTATTGCTATCATTAGTAAAAAAAATAATGAATAATCTTAAAAAAATCTCCAATTTTACACTACCAAGACACAGAAAGACTGAACCAACGTTATTGTGGTGGACTAAAGTTGTTGTCTCAATAGTCCTTTTAAGTGGTTAATTTTGTATATATATGTTTTAATTGATTTGATTATAAAATATGAGCCTTCGATTCAATATTCTACTGTTAAGTTAGACTCACAACCTTTTCCAGGTACTATATGTTAGTGAATGATTATTATCTAATTGAAATGTAAATTGTTTGGAATTTTTTTTTAGCAAAATTATTTATTTTCTTATTATTTTAAAAGTGCTTAATATCACTCTGCCATCACATGTAACAATCGATTGCAAATTTTATACAAAAGATGATGATACACTTAGTATTAGTGTGTATGCCTCTAAAAATAGTTTTTTAAAAGCTTAATTGAATTTGGCATATCATTAATGAACTGTTTCTTAGCTTTCTTAGCTGATTTTTCTGCCAATCTTGAATTGTTCAACGATGGAAGTTATAAATTTACTCCTACTGAAAATATGATTAATTCTAGTGGTCTGTTGCTCCTTTCTTGGAATAATATTCCTGGAAATGGCATAAGTGTTATTGGATTTTGTGAAGGTAACTATAAAGCTTTTAAGATCACATACTTTAATTTAATGATTAATTGTTATTATATATTCTGTCAAACAAAATAGAATTAGTTGATATCAAAAATAATTATCCGGGTCAAGCTAACCTCCAAAATTACATAGATTATCTCCAATATAACTTTGTATATATTCAAGAAAACAAGGTATCTATTTAAATATGCCAACGGTTAACATTTTGATATTTTGTAACTAAAGTCATTAATATGATCAACTTGTAATCAAAATTAGATAAATGTTGTTTATATTAAATGGGACTAGAAAAATTACTTAATTCGTGATTGGACAAATTATTTAGGTTTTCCTAATCATCATATTTCACTTCGTATTCCAGAACCAATAGCTTCAGGTAACTACAAATTTGAATTTCGATTATATGATTTATTTAAAATTTTGCAATATATAGTGATTTAACACTTTCTAATTTCAAAGCACCTATAGTAGGATACAATCGGACCACAGTATCCATTGTACCATATGGTTATACAAATAGATATTTTGAAACTGTTGAAACAGAAAAAAGGTAATTACATAAATTTTTGAATATTTTATTTTATACTAATATTAACTTTTCTAATGATGCTTTTATCATTGCTAGATTTGAAACTGTAAGTGCTATGTAATATTTGTTGTTTTTTAAGTTCAAACTTAAAATATATTTGATATTTAAATACAGTTTTGTTTTCTCAGGTCTTAAGCAATGTTGGTCCACTTGGAGGTACAATTAGCATACTGTTAGGAATTTATGCTATTTATTTGGTAAGTTTATTAAAATAAAATAATCATAACTATACAACAACAAATAACAATTAATAAACAGGAAGATCACTCCTGGACCCACGGGGAATCTTTCAAAAATGTTGTTGCATGTAAAAACCAAGATCAAAAAGAAAGCTTTTGAAAAATTTACCAGTGATTCCTTTGACCGAGAAAACCCATTTACATTATGAAAGGTCTAAAGATCCAAATATCTCGGAAATTGAAGATCCAAATATTTCAGAAATTAAAAAAGACCTTGCCTCTCTTACCACAAGATTTCATTCTTTGGAAACAATTCTAAGAGAGTACGTTATAAATTCGGATTTCCTTGATGAATTGGAGACTGGAAAAACGAGGTTAGTATTGATGAGAGTAATAAACCTCTGCAATATATAATATTTATTATGTATGAACGTAATTTAAATTTCTGAAAATTTTATTTACTATTACTATTACATTTTAGCAATCTTGCTCAGTCTCAGCGATAACGGTTATTTGATGTTCGAACCATTTGAAAATGTCAACACTTTTAAATAATTCTCGTTATAATATTTTTTTTTAAATAAAATAAACCAAGGTGCATTTTCCTGTGCGGTTTATTAAAACTAACTTGATTTACTATCAACACCTATTCCGTTAGTCTAATTGATTTTATTCAACAATTAATATGATCAACTTGTAATCAAAATTAGATAAATGTTGTTTATATTAAATGGGACTAGAAAAATTACTTAATTCGTGATTGGACAAATTATTTAGGTTTTCCTAATCATCATATTTCACTTCGTATTCCAGAACCAATAGCTTCAGGTAACTACAAATTTGAATTTCGATTATATGATTTATTTAAAATTTTGCAATATATAGTGATTTAACACTTTCTAATTTCAAAGCACCTATAGTAGGATACAATCGGACCACAGTATCCATTGTACCATATGGTTATACAAATAGATATTTTGAAACTGTTGAAACAGAAAAAAGGTAATTACATAAATTTTTGAATATTTTATTTTATACTAATATTAACTTTTCTAATGATGCTTTTATCATTGCTAGATTTGAAACTGTAAGTGCTATGTAATATTTGTTGTTTTTTAAGTTCAAACTTAAAATATATTTGATATTTAAATACAGTTTTGTTTTCTCAGGTCTTAAGCAATGTTGGTCCACTTGGAGGTACAATTAGCATACTGTTAGGAATTTATGCTATTTATTTGGTAAGTTTATTAAAATAAAATAATCATAACTATACAACAACAAATAACAATTAATAAACAGGAAGATCACTCCTGGACCCACGGGGAATCTTTCAAAAATGTTGTTGCATGTAAAAACCAAGATCAAAAAGAAAGCTTTTGAAAAATTTACCAGTGATTCCTTTGACCGAGAAAACCCATTTACATTATGAAAGGTCTAAAGATCCAAATATCTCGGAAATTGAAGATCCAAATATTTCAGAAATTAAAAAAGACCTTGCCTCTCTTACCACAAGATTTCATTCTTTGGAAACAATTCTAAGAGAGTACGTTATAAATTCGGATTTCCTTGATGAATTGGAGACTGGAAAAACGAGGTTAGTATTGATGAGAGTAATAAACCTCTGCAATATATAATATTTATTATGTATGAACGTAATTTAAATTTCTGAAAATTTTATTTACTATTACTATTACATTTTAGCAATCTTGCTCAGTCTCAGCGATAACGGTTATTTGATGTTCGAACCATTTGAAAATGTCAACACTTTTAAATAATTCTCGTTATAATATTTTTTTTTAAATAAAATAAACCAAGGTGCATTTTCCTGTGCGGTTTATTAAAACTAACTTGATTTACTATCAACACCTATTCCGTTAGTCTAATTGATTTTATTCAACATGTCATATGGATTGATTTGTTTTCATTTATATTTATTTCTTATAAAATGCAACTGACTTAAATGATAAGAAATTTATGGCTGTGGTGTAATTTGGAATTTGTTATAGAATCTTTTTTTGCATTGCTGTCATTTTAAAATTGTAGATTTAAATCAAATTTTCAAACTGGAACAGAAATTTAACAACGAGGAGAAGTAAAGAAAAATTTTACAATTATGAACTTATTCGCAAATTGATAAAAGTAAATGGTAAATATGGACCAGGTATAGAGATGGGCAAATGTGCGTATAATTGAACACTATATGATACTGTACGTATAGTGCGTATAGTAGTGTTAACAAAGGTGAATAAAATTTTCATTATTAATTAACTAAAAGTTACTATCCATTAATTATCACTAACAATGTATTGATTAACAATAGTAAAAGAAAGAATCGATGAATGACTAATTTAATCTTCACTATAAATTTATTCATTATAATTATTTATCTTTTTATTTTATTCTTATTTTGTTTCTTAAAGCTAAATTATAATAATGTGAAATAATAAACTTTTTTACAATTTTTTGATTCTCATTAAATGATAGCATCATTTCGGGTTAATTATAGCTTAACTTTTGGGCTACTCTTGTCAATTAATTGCAAATAACTCGGTGCTCGTCAAATAATTAATTAACTTACGACCTTACTTTAGTTCTCAACTACTGCATCTAGATGAAACTGCGAACACATTTAATGGTGCCAAATAACTGTAAATAAATAAAGATAGCCCTTTTGCAATGTTATAAAGTTCCTTTTATTCACTTGTGATTGATTTGTTTCCGTCGTTTACATTGCAAACTCACTTTGGTTTACTTGCGAAACAACTTAAGTAGCTTCTTACATTTACGATTACAATAACATTACCAGTATTCCCAATTAATCTTTTGACGATACTTTACCAATCGTTGTTAATACTCACCAGTTAAGTAACGTTAGTCCTAACCTTGTTTGCTCAAATAAACGTGGCTTTTTACCAAAGTTCCACAATTGTTCCCTTTTACCAAGGCACTAACTACAATTGTTGATTTTATCAAATGGTTTTATTTTTAAAGTTTATTAACGATTAATTATTTTCCTCTTAATGAAATTTTCGTTGATCACTACTTCCATAATTCTTCATACTAAAATTAGTCGACTCTGGAGCATAAATTACCGAATCCCTGATCGATGGTTTTATCTATCCCGATCACCTATCACGTTATAAATGAGTATGTAAGAACTGAATTTGTATTCAACAAAAGAAAAACTTGGCTCTTCGGGAACAACTGATGAAACAAAGGAGGGGTTGGGATGCACAAAAAAAAATATAAAAAAAAGACCTTGGAATATACATTTATAAGTTTTTATCCTTTAAAGCAATTTTTGGTAACAATTCGTCAAGCAACATTAATGGTAACTCTAGAAAATGTGGGTGCCAATTGTCCATGAACGAATGATTGAAGCAAGCAAAAAGCGTATACAAAGCTGTCTTTTGCTTACCGTGGTAAAAGTTTTAAAACAAGGACGACTGACCTGTTAAAATATAAGAATGATTTTGCGAGCATAGTTTTAAAGTGTAAAAAAGAATAGTCTTGAAAGTTTTTGGTCCATAGCCTTCGTCATGGTCTTCGTCATCATAGCCTTCATCATCATGATCTTTATTATTAGTTTCCTCTGACTTACAAGTAAATTTGAAAGTAAAAATGATTTATTGCTAGGCTTGTTTGTAGTCAAATCCTAGAACTCAAATAGCGGTTGTACTTTCATAGATAGGCTTTTCGGGCTATCGGAAAAATATTCCGAGACTTAACTGACAGATCACGGGATTGAGAATATTCTTTGAGCAAGATTGCTTCAAGCAAAACATAGCATAGTCATCCTCTTGTAAAGAAACAGAAAACGAGAACGTGATTTTTTTGCGTAGCTTGTGTGCATGCCATGTAAGTAAGTGGGCGATGATGGAACGAAGAAGTAAAAATTACATAGAAAATCTCAAAGCTCTGAAAGAAAAAATAATCTGTGTAGTAATACCAAGTTGTAGTAGCCAAGGCTTTTTTCGACATGATGACGTGAGACATTTTGAGTGATTAATACAAATTTCTAAATTTGCATTTACTATAAATTATTTTTTGATTATTTTATCATTCGAATTATTCCAAAGGGTGATATTTTAACTATCCACGTCTAATTAATTTATGAACATTGTAGAAAAATCGTCCAGAATCGCCCATAGAAAATAAATTAATATTAATATTAAGACAAATGTTGGTCGAAATTTCAAGTGCATTACCTTTGGCCAATCTTTATAACAAACATACAACCTACTCCAGATTCCATATACGATTGCTGAAATCATCCAAAAATTTATCAGTGGAGAATCTACAGAGTTGCCCCAAAGTTAATAATGGTACATGATATCGGGAAATAGAAAGGGAATTATATAAAAGGCTGAAAAAACTCGAAGATGAAGACCATAAATTGATGTTACAGATACAAAAAAATAGAAATGAGTTATTTAATATATCTAGAGATGGGCAAATGGCGTATAGTTGAACACTATACGACACTATACGATACTTTACGTATAGTGCGTATAGTACG